TCAGCCTCAGCCTCAGCCTTGCCTCAGCCTCAGCCTCAGCCTGCTTCAGCCTCAGCTCAGTCTGCCTTCAGCCTCGGCCTCACCCTGCCGCAGCTCAGCCTGCATCAGCCTCAGCCTCAGCCTCAGCCTGCCTCAACATCAGCCTGCCTCAGCCTCAGCCTGAGCCTGCCTGCCTCAGCCTCAGCCTCAGCCTGCTTCAGCCTCAGCCTCAGTCTGCCGTCGGCCTCGGCCTCAGCTTCAGCCTGCCTCAGCCCCAGCCTGCATCAGCCTCAGCCTCAGCCTCAGCCTGCCTCAGCCTCAGCCTGCCTCAGCCTCAGCCCCAGCCTGCTTCAGCCTCAGCTCAGTCTGCCTGCAGCCTCGGCCTCAGCCTCAGCCTGCCTCAGCCTGGGCCTGCATCAGCCTCAGCCTCAGCCTCAGCCTGCCTCAGCCTCAGCCTGCCTCAGCCTGAGCCTTAGTCTGCCTCAGCCTCAGCCTCAGCCTGCTTCAGCCTCAGCATCAGTCTGCCTTCAGCCTCGGCCTCGGCCTCCGCCTTCCGCAGCCTCACCCTGCATCAGCCTCAGCCTCAGCTTCAGCCTGCCTCAGCATCAGCCTGCTTCAGCCTCAGCCTGCCGCAGCCTCAGCCTCAACCTCAGCCTGCTTCAGCCTCAGCATCAGTCTGCCTTCAGCCTCAGCCTCAGCCTCAGCCTGCCTCAGCCTCAGTCTGCCGTCGGCCCCGGCCTCAGCCTCAGCCTGCCTCAGGCTCAGCCTCAGCCTCAGTCTGCCTTCAACCTCGGCCTCAGCCTCAGGCTGCCTCAGCATCAGCCTGCTTCAGCCTCAGCCTCAGCCTCAGCCTGCCTCAGCATCAGCCTGCTTCAGCCTCGGCCTCAGCCTGCCTCTGCCTCGGCTCCAGCCTGCTTCAGCCTCAGCCTCAATCTGCCTTCAGCCTCGGCCTCAGCCTCCGCCTGCCTTAGCCTCAGCCTGCATCAGCCTCAGCCTCAGCCTCAGCTTGCCTCAGCCTCAGCCTGCCTCAGCCTCAGCCCCAGCCTCAGCCTCAGCCTCAGCCTGCTTCAGCCTCAGCCTCAGTCTGCATTCAGCCTCGGCCTCAGCCTCACCCTGCCTCAGCCTCAGCCTGCATCAGCCTCAGCCTCAGCCTCAGCCTGCCTCAGCATCAGCCTGCCTCAGCCTCAGCCTCAGCCTGCCTCAGCCTCAGCCTCAGCCTGCTTCAGCCTCAGCCTCACTCTGCCTTCAGCCTCGGCCTCAGCCTCAGCCTGCCTCAGCCTCAGCCTGTATCAGCCTCAGCCTCGGCCTCAGCCTGCCTCAGCCTCAGCCTCAGCCTGCCTCAGCCACAGCCTCAGCCTGCTTCAGCGTCAGCTTGATTCTGCCTTCAGTCTCGGCCTCAGCCTCAGCCTGCCTCAGCCTCAGCCTGCATCAGCCTCAGCATCAGTCTGCCTCAGCATTCAAAATGTGGCCCGGGAATGGAGTTCTGGGAACTCGAAGACCACGAAGTGGCTTACAGTTGGCTCGGGGCATTCAAAATCATGCCCAGGAATGCAGTTCTGGGAACTCGAAGACCACGAGGTGGCTTACAGTTGGCTCCGAGCATTCAAAATCATGCCCACGAATGGACTTCTGGGAATTCGAAGACCACGAAGTGGCCTACAGTTGGCTCCGGGCATTCAAATCATGCCCAGGAATGAGTTCTGGGACCTCGAAGACGACGAAGTGTGTAACTGTTTGCTTAAAACGACTTCCGCGGCTTCCCCCTGGCACCCGCCCAGACCCCCCCGGGGAGTCAAGATGCTCTCTTTTGACACTATCAGAAACCTATCAGTCTTCGCTGTTAGGTAAAAAAGGGAGGAAGTCTCGAGCGGGGGCGCTGTTGTTGCTGGGGGGCGGCGCCGATGGGAGAACGAGTAGCGCGCCTGTCCAAGGTAAAGCGGAAGGAAGTCTCGAGCGGGAACGTTGGTTCTGTTGAGACGGTTGTTTTCGGCGGCGAGCAAGGGCACCGACCCTGAGTAAACAAGGCGGAAGTCTCGAAAGGGGGCGTTGAACATTATTACTTCTAAAGAATAATTATTGTTGGGACCCCTGGTGCACGGCCCCCTCGCCGCGCCTAGGCCGCAGCCACATTTTCATCATTTTCGTGAGGAAGTCTCAGGTAAAACGATGTGATCCAGATCCGGTTGTTTTGTTACGGGCGGTTTTCCCTTGCAAACAATAAGGCAAAGTGGACATTTCTTGTTCTAACATAACCAAACGTCAGGAATCCCTTGCAAAAAATAAGGTAAAGTGGACATTCGCGCGCGCAAGACGAAATCCTTCCAAAACCTTAGTGTTCGTAGCGATTTTAACATAAAAACATCAAACAACCAATGGTTCTTCAACAAAAAATGTCAAAATTTCATCCCGCGCGCTCTTGCGGATTTGTAGGAAACCCAACACTTTTTAAACATTTCTGTCAAACGGGTTTTTGCGAGCAACTTTTTCACGTGCTTCGAACTTCTCCAACAACGGTTGCGCACCTGCCAGGGCCATCATCCACAGGGGGAAAAGTCGTATACTAAGCTAGCGCCCAGAAAATGTTACCACAACAAGTCACTGTACCCATGCGCCAGTGTAGTAGCCACGGTCGTCCGCAGGCCACGAAGTGAAGTGTCCGAACGTCATAGGGCGGGAAGCTGGGTGTGGGTGGTGGCGAAGAGTCGTTTGGAAATGTGGTAGAGCTTGAACCGGCCCCCCCACAAAGTGGGGGTATGGCGGGCGTCGTATGAAAACCCTGGCACTGGTGAGAACGGAGTGTCCCCACGTGCTAGTAATTGTTGTTGTTGTTGTTGTTGTTGTTGTTGTTGTTGTTGTTGTTGTTGTTGTGGTTGGGGGGCCGGATTGGGTGGTCCCCCAAACCGCTTGAGAGTAAGCTTCATTTTCAATGACAAATGCAGCCGGCGCCTCGGCGAGACCGCCAGGGCGCCTGTAAGGGGCCCACCAATAATACTTCCTTAGTAATTAACATTCAACAGCAACACCCACAACACTTACAACAACAACAACAACAACAACAACAACAACAACAACAACAACAACAACAACAACAACAACAACAACGACGACGACGACGACGACGACGACAACGACAACGACAACAACAACAACATTAACAGTAACAACAACACCAACAACAACAACTATCCAGGTAAAGCAGCCGAACAGCGATGTGTAGGAGCATATCTGGAAGCATTCCGCTTAAGATTCAGATGAGACAGCCTGCATCAGCCTCAGCCTCAGCCTCAGCCTGCCTCAGCCTCAGCCTGCTTCAGCCTCAGCATCAGCCTGCCTCTGCCTCAGCCTCAGCCTGCTTCAGCCTCAGCCTCAGTCTGCCTTCAGCCTCGGCCTCAGCCTCAGCCTGCCTCAGCCTCAGCCTGCATCAGCCTCAGCCTCAGCCTCAGCCTCAGCCTCAGCCAGCCTCAGCCTCAGCCTCACCCTGCCTCAGCATCAGCCTGCATCAGCCTCAGCCTCAGCCTGCCTCAGCCTTAGCCTGCTTCAGCCTCAGCCTCAATCTGCCTTCAGCCTCGGCCTCAGCCTCAGCCTGCCTCAGCCTCAGCCTGCATCAGCCTCAGCCTTAGCCTCAGCCTGCCTCAGCATCAGCCTGCCTCAGCCTCAACCTCAGCCAGCCTCAGCCTCAGCCTCAGCATCAGCCTGCTCAGCCTCAGCCTCGTCTGCCTTTCAGCATCGGCCTCAGCCTCAGCCTGCTTCAGCCTCAGCCTCAGTCTGCCTTCAGCCTCGGCCTCAGCCTCAGCCTGCCTCAGCCTCAGCCTCAGGCTCAGCCTGCCTCAGCATCAGCCTGCCTCAGCCTCAGCCTCAGCCTGCCTCAGCCTCAGCCTCAGACTGCCTCAGCCTCAGCCTCAGCCTGCTTCAGCCTCAGCCTCAGTCTGCCTTCAGCCTCGGCCTCAGCCTCAGGCTGCCTCAGCCTCAGCCTGCATCAGCCTCAGCCTCAGCCTCAGCCTGCCTCAGCATCAGCCTGCCTCAGCCTCAGCCTCAGCCTGCCTCAGCCTCAGCCTCAGCCTGCTTCAGCCTCAGCTTCAGTCTGCCTTCAGCCTCGGCCTCAGGCCTCAGCCTGCCTCAGCCTCAGCCTGCATCAGCCTCAGCCTCAGCCTCAGCCTGCCTCAGCATCAGCCTGCCTCAGCCTCAGCCTCAGCCTCAGCGTGCCTCAGCCTCAGCCTCAGTTTCAGTCTGCCTTCATCCTCAGCCTCAGCCTCAGCCTGCCCCAGCCTCAGCGTCAGCCTGCCTCAGCATTCAAAATGTGGCCCGGGAATGGAGTTCTGGGAACTCGAAGAACACGAAGTGGCCTACAGTTGGCTCCGGGCATTCAAAATCATGCCCAGGAATGGTGTTCTGGGAACACGAAGAACACGAAGTGGCCTACAGTTGGCTCCGGGCATTCAAAATGTGGCCCGGGGATGGTGCTCTGGGAACACGAAGAACACGAAGTGGCCTACAGTTGGCTCTGAGCATTCAAAATCATGCCCACGAATGGACTTCTGGGAATTCGAAGACCACGAAGTGGCCTACAGTTAGTTGGCTCCGGGCATTCAAAATCATGCCCAGGAATGGGTAACTGTTTGCTTAAATCGACTTCCGCCCGGACCCCCCTGGGGCGTCAAGATGCTCTCTTTTGACCCCAATAGAAACCTATCAGTCTTCGCTGTTAGGTTAAAACAATAACAATGCAACGCAACACGCAGAATGTTACCACGAATTCCTTATTCAGCCACGCGCCCAGGGACAATGAATGACCGTTCGGCCCTCTCATTCAATAATAAGCATGCGACGAAAGGCGGAAGAGGAGGAGGAGGAGGAGGAGAAGGACGAGAAGGAGGCGGAGGAGGAGGAGGAGGAATATGAGGAAGTCGGGGGAGGATGGGGAGGAGGAGGAGGAGGAGCAGGAGCAGGAGGGAGGAGAAGAAGGAGGAGGAGAGGGAAGGGGAGAGAGGAGGAAGCGCGTCGAAGGCCCCAGGGAGGGCGAGGTGCTCAGCCAGCCCATCCAGTATGACGAGCAGACCGTGCCCATCCCTCGGGAGGGGCCGGGGGTCGGAGGTTGCAAGGGCTTCCCTGTCCTCCTCGCCCTCCTCGCCTTCGTTCTCCACATCATCGTCACCATCGTCACCGTCCTCGCCATCACCACGACCATCGCAATGACCACCATCATCGTCCGCGTTCCGTCATCCGCCATACGCCATCCGCCACCCACCATCACCAGCGATCGTCCATCGTCCTGCCCCCCCCCCGCGCAGGGAGGGGAATCTGAGGGAGGGGGTGCGCGAGATTAGGCGGGACGAGGGGGGATGGAGAGCGATGGGGGAGGCACAAAGGGAACTTGCGTCTTGAGGGGGCGAGAGGACGGGACGGGAGGAAAGGAAGGAGGGGAGGGGAGGGGAGGAGAGGGAGGGAAGGGGAGGGAGGGAAGGAGGGGAGGGGAGGGAGGGGAGGGGAGGGGAGAGGAGGGGAGGGGAGGGGAGAGGAGGGGAGGGGAGGGAGGTGCAATCAGGGAAGTGAAGGGGGGAGGACAGGACAGGCGCGGAAGCCGGGAAGGGGAAGGGAGGGGTTCTGGAAAAGGACAGCAGAGGGAAGGAGGAAGAGAAGGGACGCGCAAGCAAAGGGAGGGGCAAGAGGGCAGGGGAAGAGGGTCAAGTAAGGAAGGATGCAACGGCGGGGGACTATGGGGGAAGGCGGAACGACAGGGGAAGGTCCGTTATGGGAAGGGGTGGAGGCGATCGTCAGCATTGGACGGGACAGGGACGGAAAGGGAATGGGGGGGACGAGAAGGGGAGACGAAGGGAAGGGACGGCCAGGGAAGGAGGGGAAAGGACGAGAAGCCGGACGGAGGTGAGGGCAAGAGAAGGAAGCGGAGGGAGTGCGCTGCAAGATTCGGAGCATGAAGGGAACGTGCGGTATGGAGAAGCGCGGGGAGGCAGACGGGAGCAGAGCAGGGACGGGAATAGACGGGACGAAAGGGAGACAAGGGGAGGGCAGAGGATGTAGGTGAAGTAAAGGGTGGCGGGGGGGGGAGGGATGTGATGGCAAGTGCATTCGGCAGGGGGAAGGGAACGGGGAAAGGAACGACGGAGGGACAGAAGGAATCGGGAAGGAAAGGGGAGGGAAGAGGTGGTTGGAAGAGATGGGAATGCAAAGAAGGGACATGTAAGGGGAGGTGAGGACGTGAAGTGATGAGGAAGAGAGGGGGGAGGGCCAGATGCACAAAGGGAAGGGCCATCCCCATTACCCCCTTCTCTATTGCCACCCCCTTCTGAAATCCCTGGCGAGAACAAGGAGTTGCACTCCCTTCTTCCTCCTCTCCCCTTCCTTCTCGTTCCCTATACTCTCTCCCCTCCTCTCGTCCCCCCCACCCGTTCTACTTTCCCTTCTCCTCCCCTCCCCCCTCCCCTCCCTCCCTCCCCTGCCTCCCCTCCCTCCCCTTCCTCCCCTTCCCTCCCCTCCTCCACAATTGCTCAATATGAATACTACTCTCCCTCTTCCCCTGATGACGTCTTGGGAGTAGCCGCCCCCCCCCCCCGCGCATTGTTTTTTTACACAGGTTTCCCTGGAATTGGGTTTTCGCTTGCATTTTTTCCAAAATGCTGCTCTCGCTGAGGCGCCGGCTTCATTTTCGGGCCCCACTCGTTCCGAATCGTGCTCCCGCTGCAGCGCTGGCATCATTTCCGCCGGCGCCCGGGCTGTACGCCCGAGCCGGCGCCCAGGCCGGCGCTCGGGCCGGGTCTGGAGCCGGTTCCGGCCGCCGCTGGAAAATCGAGTTCCGAGGCGGCGCCGAAAAAAGGCCATTCCAATACACATGCATTGTTCTTTTGAAAATGCTGAATTTCTGCTTCCGGCGCCCGGGAGGCCTCCCGGGCCGATTCCGACGCCCTTGCCGGCGCCCGAGCCGGCGCCTGGGCCGGACGCCCGAGCCCGCGCCCAGGCCAGCGCCCGGGCCGGGTCCGGAGCCGGTTCCGGCCCCTAGTAAACCAAAAATAGATACTGGTAGTGTCTATCTTGGGTGCGCGCCTGCTATGGCAAAACCGCAACGCATCTGAGTCGGAGCGCGCGAAACGCGAGTCTTTTTATGTTTGTTATTTGCAATTCGTGTGACCAAATGAAAATAGACACGTGCAAAATAGATAATGTTACCAAAAATAGATACGGAATCAGCTTTTTATGAAAAATAGGCACTGCTAGATACGTTTCTTATTTAAAAACCTTGTCAAGTAGCGGGCCGCCGCCCGCGATCGTTTCTGGTTTTCTGCGCCGTAAACTCAAGAGCTCTGTGAACCAAACTTCAGCGGTCTCATCGGGTGAGAGGGGCATTTGCACTGGCTGGCTGGGAAAAGTCATGATCGCAGATGCAATTCAACACCCGTCCTCGATCATCCAGCTACATTGTTCGAGACCGATCGGTCGACCGCTCAACCCAGCGTCCGTGAAACCGATCTCGGCGGAAGTGGCGCGGAAGCGCCGCGAAGTAAAGTCGGGGATCCCGACTCGCACAAGAAAGTAGCTTGCTGCATGCCATCACTCACCCTGGGACTGGTTCTGCTCTGAGCGTCGCGGGCCCGACGCTCGTTCGCACGCCTGTGGCGTGCCGCCCGTGTCGCCTCCTTCGCGGAGGCCGCCTCGGCTGAGACCTTCACGCTCACGTAACCGTCGTGCATCGCGGTAGTCAGGTAGCCTCTCTCGGCCTCGAGCTTCGTCAGTGCGTCCGCCAGCTGAACGGAGGTGTCGCACCACTTCAGGTCGACTCCGTCTTGGCTGAGCATCTCTCGTAGGGCCGCAATGACCACTCGAACTCGACGGTCTGCGATCTGGCCAGCATCCGCGAGCAAGTGGGTGACTAGGCTGTTCGCATCATCGAACCACTTGGCTGGGATCAGGGTCGCAGCGTCGTCCACCAGGTCGCCCAGCGGCTGGTTGGGCTTGTCCATCTCGTAGTACAGCGCCCGGATCCACTCCAGTGCTTCAGCTCCCTCACTGAGTCCGTGGGCTTCAGCTCCCATCGACGCTCGACAAACTCTCTTGATACGTGAGCTTCCCCAGTCCAAGAAATGCACTGGTCCTTCGTGATGTTTGTAGAGGCCGTCGTCGCTGAGCAGGCGCACGAATCCGAGCTGTGACTTCACCTTCTCGCCAATCGGGCCTAGGTCGTAGTCGTCGACGTTGTTGAGGCTGCTGTCCGCGAACACGACTGAGCGTAGGTCCTCATCGTTGTGTAGAATGTCGTTGCGGAAGCAGAGGCAGACCTCACGCGTCTCCTTGCAGTAGCGAACCAGCTTATTCATCTCCAGTAAGTGCTGCACCGTCGCATGGTTCTTCTGCTGCGCCAGCCAGCTGTAGCCGAATGAGACGTCCATGCGGAGCTGCCTCGACAGCCATCCGAGTGAGCCAATCACCGACTCCGCGGCGCTCCGCTCCTCGTCCGTAGCCATCGCCTTAGTCTGCTTCGCCCTGGCCGGGGACATCACGACAGTCTCCATCTGGTCGATGAAGTGCGTCATGCTGATCTTGATCGTGTAGTCCGCCATCTGCTCGACATCCTTGCCGCAGTACCTGAAGGGCGGCTTCTCCTCTGTCAGCAGCAGCACCCGCTTGAGCTCGTCCGTTGTGGCCTTGAACAGGTCGCTGTTGGGGTCGCCTGTCGCGAACAGGTCGTCCACGTAGGTGCCGACGAGGCCGACGAGCTTGCCATGCTCGAACAGGAGGAAGAACGCCCTCTCCAAGCTGCTGTCCTGCCACGAGTTGCTGCGCAGCGTCCTCCGTAGCTTACTCCACCATTTCCTTCCAGCGTCCTTCGTGCCGTAGATCGCGCCGTGGCAGATGAACACCGATCCTTGCTCAACTCCTGGTGGTAGTGGCGAGGGAGGTCGCAGTGCGAGCATCCTGTCGACGTCGTCTCCTTGTAGGTAGGCACTCGTGGCGTCGAGCTTGTAGAGTGGCCAGTGCTTCCTGGCCGCCGTGCTGCAGATCACGTGGAACACCAGCAGGGGCGACGTAGGCGAGTCCGTCCTCACGTGGACCGACTCGTAGCAGCCGACCGCCACCAGCCTGGACTTCGCCTTCAGAGGGAGCTTCGGGTCGTACTCGCTCTTGTTCGTGTGTACCCATCCCGACGGTATCGCCTTGACCCGACCTAGCAGCTCCTTGGCCGCGTCGCCCGTGACCACGGTCACCGCCCTGAAGTTGCGCCAGTTATCCCACTCCTTGGCCATGCTCGCGTCGAAGAGGAGCTTCTCCGCCTTCGTGAGGTCCGCGAGCTTGAGCTCCTTCCATCTGGACTTGCCGGTCAGCCAGGCGTACTGCATCCAGTCGTAGAAGACAGCGTCCGAGTCGGGCTCCGCCAGGAAGGCTCCAGATATGGGCCCTCCTCTCTGCCGTCGCGGCGGCGTGCGCTCTGGCCCGTAGGTCGGAGAGCCAGGCGGAAACTCGCCAGCTCCAGGGGGTCTCGGAGGAGGAGTGGTAGGCTCAGGTTGGATATCATCATCGCGATCGATCTCACCACCTCGGTTATCATCATCATCATCGGGCACCGGTACGTCTTCACCAGGTACGGATCCACGCTCGTGGGCTGGCTCAAGTACGGGGGCCTGTGGGGTGAGATCCTCGCCCTGCTGTGCCGCACTCGGCTCCGAGCCATGGCCTCCGGGGGCAGAGCTCAAGGGCTCAGGATCGCCGGGACCAAGTCCCCCGCCCGGGGCCCCCTCGGCCACCTGTGGTGCCAGGGCGTGGCTCGGAGCACTAGCGGCTGCACTCGGTGCTGCCGCCGTCGTTCTGCCTGGTAGCGGGGCCTCCTCGGGGAACTTGGCAGCTCCCTCTTCCAGTCCTTCACGTCGTACGTCCAGGAATCCGCGAGGTCCTCGGGGTAGAGCAGCGCCTCGCTGATCTGCTGGCATCTAGTCCCAGGTGATCAGCTCGTCCTCCGTCGCGAACCTCAGCTGCTCGGGCCTCGCCAAGACCGCGCCGCCACCATGCCGTAGCCAAACCGCGTGAGGGCTGCCCTGAACGGCAGCAGGTCGAAGCGTAGCGTTGATCC